CTATAATGGAATCGCCTGTGTTTGCTCACCGGCGATATATGTTCAAACTCAAGTGTCGGAGGCGACACATTATTCATATATAATAATATACAAAAGATTTTTTCGAATAAATGATTTAACATAGGAATGTTTTTTACGTTTAAAGAGGTTCAATTATCAGGCTGTATAGACTGGCACATTTCTTTTTATGTGCCGTGTCACTTCAGGATGTAAGCGATCATGGCTCACCACTTCTCCCATCACTTTTAGCTCACAATATATTTCGTCCTTCTACCATATCCCCCAGACCATCATTCACTTGCTTAAGACCGCCAGGTATGCAATGCGTTACTTCCCCTTGTCTCTCTTTCACTCAGTTCGACCTGTTAGTATCAGATTTTCTAGGCCCTCTTTTCTCATTACGTGTCCCAGTTATTTCATCTGCCTCTTCCTGATGTTAGTATAAGCTTCCTCCTTATTTGCATCCTCTCCAAAACATAATCGTTGCTCACACGCTCAGTCCATGATATCCTTGGCATCCTTCTATAGAATCGTACCTCACTTGCCTCGAGTCTCTTCTTCATCTTTGAGGCGATCGTCCAACATTCGATGCCGTAAATGACAAATGTCACGTAGCAGCTTGGTACGCTTAAATTGCTCAGACAAGATGTTAATCATATATTCAGGCTCCTTGCATTTTTGAAGTAATGGATAGCGTCTCGGACTGAGGAATCGGCGAGCTGACTTCAAATTCCAGTCGGATCCATTACATTCACTTATGTGCTAATACCCTTTGGAAAGGTATACATTCTCTTCTCTCCTCACCAACCCAACAGCTATGAGTAAATAGCAAGACAGACCGGCTTATATAGCCTTGGATGGCAACTGGTCTACCGCAGAAAGAAATGGCACTTTACTGTGAGAAAAATCTGCCTCGTCAGTCATGTAGCGAAAGATACATGATCGCCTACGCGTGTATCACGCATGGTACGGCACTGACTAACACTTTTTCCATTACTTACTCATCTAAATCACTTTTAATTTTCCTAATTTGTCTACCATGAACACTGTTTCATCAGCTTAATTTATCTTGCAAAGTACAGATCTCACGTAGCAGCTCGGTACTCTTTTATTTGTTACCAAAGAAATCCTCCTGTCATGCAATACTCTGCACAGCTTTTAGAATGCATCTTTGGCCATCCCAAAACTTTTTCGGGTCGCAGCGTCGCATTTACCGTCCTCCGTCAAAACACTACCCACGCTTTATGCTTAGTCCTCTTTTCTCGCTGTACTTCGCTGCCTTCTGTAGGGGGTTTTGTAATTTATTTTCCGCGTAAAATCATTAAGTATATACTTTACAAAAAAAAATAAAACACACTTAATTTGAAGACTTCCAACTGCAAAATGAAGCCGGATGTTTAGCACATGTACCTCGATGGGGAAATACTGATATAATCAAGATGCTGGCGTTTGACACGATTTTACACAAAAGATTTGGAAAGAGACGCGTTTCAGTATTTGAATAAACGATAACATTTAGTGGATTGTGAAATCAGTTTTCACTCAAAAATAACTTTTTAAGAAAAATATTTTATAAATTTCAAATGACAGTTACGTTAACTCTTCTGTCAATGAACATTGAATGTTGCGTGCATAAAAACGGCTATTTCACCATCAACATTACCGCTGATGACAGGTCGATTTAATCGCCAAACTTTACTAGAGTTATTTTTTCAATTTATTTTCATTTAAAATATAATCTCTCTTCGTCTCCTCTTAGCAGTAAAACTGTATGTGCTTTTATAAGTTTTCTTTTTTTGTGGTTCCGGTTTCCTGGCGTCAGTTTTATTTATTTATTAATTATTATTATTATTTGTTATGTTTCCTTTTTTCTATCGTGTAGAGCCGGGTCCAAACTAGGGTCCTTAGGCCCTATAGGAGAATTGTCATTTAATTGATAGCACTCTTCTTACTATATGTGATGTTCCTAGTAGGGACGATCTTCTGGGCAACTTGTATGTTGATAATACTTGGGCCATTGTTAGTAAAATCTTCCATCTTCTTGTTCTTCGCCTTCTTCTTCTTCTTCTTCTTCTTCTTATTATTATTATTATTATTATTATTATATGTTATGTTTCCTGCTTTGTATCCTGTAGAGCCGGGTCCAAACTAGGGTCCTTAGGCCCCATATGAGTATTGTCATTTAATTGCTAGCAATTTTCTTAGTATATGTGATGTTCCTAGTAGGGTCGATATTCTGGGCAACTTGTATGTTGATGATACCTGGTCCACTATAAGTAAAATCGTCCATATTATCATTATTATTATTATTATTATTGTTATTATTATTATTGTTGTTGTTCCCATTGCTTTCTGTTGTTTATGCCATTTCTTCTGTGACCAAACAACAAACCTAATGTTAGAAATGCCTTTATGCGCGTTTCCAGTGATTGTTTTTTGTGAAAAAAAGGTACAAATGAGATCAAATACATCAATAGTATTATTATTATTATTGTTATTATTATTATTATTATTTAAGTGATCAAAACAATTTCTGAAATTTCTATTATCGTGTTTTTCTCAGACCCAGAATTATTATTTTTATTTCGCTTGCGCCTTGCATATGATGTTGGTTCCATATAAAAAAGTCCATTTTTAGGTTACCTTCTGTGACTAAAGAAAATAAACAGGTCATTTGTTCTATAACGGCGACCTTAGCGTTAACAAGAATATGTGTGACAAAACAATAGATGCTGATAAGACGAGTTTGAGATAAATAAGAGTTTTTTTTTTATTATTTTCTGTGATTTATAAGGGTAAATCATTTGCTCATGCCAGATTGAGAATTCTTTCGGTGTATAACACAAGTTTGTAATCGAGACAGACAGGTGGAGATAATCAACACTGATGTGTAGTCGTGTGAAGTAGACTCTTGGGAGAACAATTAGTCCACTGTATCACGCGACAATTAGCATTTACTGTTGATGATTTCGTCGCTGGCATCGCTGCTGATTGAAACGTCTTAATGTGGATGCTGATGGTCTGGGCTGTCATGTGATCTACGGCGTTTGTTTGAGCTTGCTGCCGTGGGATCTATCGCTAAAATCACCGGGTCGTGTATTCATTTTTAGATGAAACCACTGTCTCCTTTACAGGGAGAAAATCACTGCTGCGAAAACCACGTAGGCATGTTTTTGATTGAACAGAAAAGATGTTTTATTGCCCTATTATTTTTCAGTGGCATTTCTTAAGTGGCTGTACGGAGACGGAAGTAATTAAGTTTCCTTCTTTTTTTTTTCAAATTAGACGTGCATGTCAAAGTGAACACTTCCGTTTGATTTAAAGAAATCTTTTCACCAGCCGGTTATATAAAATACTATTTTCTGTTCCGGACAGAAAATATTTATTGTAATGACTCCGTATCCAAATAATAATCTAATGACTTCAACATGTTTTCATACTCTTTGTAATACAATTGATATTATAATTACTTTCATGGTTTATTTATCACAACATTTTTAAAGTCCATACTTTATATTATTGTAAGTGTTGATCTTCTTTACTTTCATTTCACATGTGAAATGGACAGAATATTTCTTTAATGCAGCAATTGTTTTCGTTTTGTCCAGAAGAACTATATTTTTTGTGTGTTCTAATATTGTCTTTCACAGGATTTTCACGTTGCTATTATACAGAAATTTCTTCTAGTTTTGATATTATTATTATTATTAGTAGTAGTAGTAGTAGTAGTAGTAGTATCATTGTTGTTGTTCTTAACGCTGTTAAGAAATATGCACTTTACTATTAATTTTATATTTAGTTATAATATATGAATAGATTTTAAAAATATTTTTAGTTTAAAATTAAACGCTTATATAGTTTGGGGTCTTCATCATGCGTGAGTTCAATATCTGAAAACAAATGCCATATCTTTGGAATTCCCAAAGAATATTTTGCGGCATATGACATTGTTGTCATGGAATACAAAATATAGAAAAAAAGTAACACTTGTTAGATGTTAAAGAAAAGAACGTTAACATCATTAGGCATTTGAAAACACGTAAAGATGGAGACAGGGTCAGAAGTGAAGTGACTTGGGTCACATGATAGTTTCCTTCAAGCAAACTAAGATGACGTGCTTGAGAAAAAAGTGGTGAAAGAAACTGGAGATTGGTTGGTTAGGGCTCACACTCTGCTGTTATCAGCCTGCTTTGCCGCGAGATTAAACGTTGCTGTTCCAACAACGGTTGTCATTTTCTGTCCTTCGTGGCTTGAGGAAATTGGGCGAAGTGAATAAAGGTAGTGAATTTGAGTTGAGGAGAATTTGATAAACCGCTGGGACTATTTGACAAATTAGTGCCAAACCGCCGAAAAGATTGGCGTCCAGTGTGGAAGTATGTAATAAAGACATGAAAAAAAGAAAGAAAAGAAAACCAAACGAGATGCAGTTGGGCAGTCTAGATTTAAGAAAAGAAAGAAGAGGCGTAGATGAATGAAAAAATAATGAAAAGAATGATGAATAAAAGAAAAAAGAAAAAAAGTTTGCGTAAATCAATACCAGTAGATATCTGTGGCCACAGATACAGTAGAACCTTGTGTCTCCTAATATATACATCATCGAAACCTCTATGACTACATACGTAAACAGCTCCACAAAAAAGCATGTGGATGTTAGGGAGTGTCTCGTAGGAAGCCATAGTCAGTCAGTTATTTACAATCACAAAATTACCTATTGAAATGGAACAAGTTTACATTCATTTCTTATATAAGTTTTCGCTTACTGAGTTTCAGTCATCATCATCATCATTATCGTCAGTCCCATCACCGTTTTTGGTCCTTACGCCCCTGTTCCCCTGACTAGTTCCTTCCACATATTTGGGTTGAAAGTCGGAGAGGTGTTCATTCATGTGTAAAGTGACTTAAGACCAAATCGACGCAAAGTTTGGCGTACTGTGTGGATGTTTGTAATGAAGACAGGGAGTAAAAAGAAAACGAAACTGTGGCAGTTGGGCAATCTAGATTTAAGAAAAGAAAGAAGAGGGGTACATGAATTTAAAATAATATAAAAAGAACGAATAATAGAATAAATAAAAAAAATTGCATAAATCAATATCAGTAGAATATGAAGGAGGAGGAAAAATCTGCTGAAGGGAGATGAGACGAGGTCGCATGTATCGGAAGAGAACGAAAGAAAAGATATAATAAAGAGAAAAGTAAAAGAGAAAAAATAAGAATAAACGCATCAAAAAGAAATAGTGAATGAAACGAAAAGAAGAAAAGTCAAAGATGAAAATAAAGAATAATAATTTAAAAAGAAAAAAGAAGGAAATAAAATAAACTAAGCAACGAAACCTAAAAACATGGTGGCCCGGTTACATGAATTTAACCGTGCTACTAGATTGTCAACTACGTCCCACGCGTTTACTTTTTAAATAGATAAATACAACAAACACTTCTACTCCAACATTTCCCTTTCTCGCACTTCCCTCCTGTTGAACACCTTTTCGTTTACTGGCTTCTACAATCTTCAAAAGTTTAATTGAAATGTCAATCGTTATCTTCTCTCTTCTTGGATCCCGTTCATCTTTTGTCCTTACCTCAACCCACACTATAGCCAATGGTTTCTCTTCCTTTCACTGCCTGTAACCCCATGTGTACTTGTGGCATTCCCGCCTTGCTTGGATGAAACGATTGAAAAAAGAGAGATAAATGAGAGGGAAATAGATGAAAAGGAAAAGTGACTAATGTAAGAAAGTGTATAGAAAATCAAAAAAGGCAATGAATACGCATAGAGATAAAACACAGAAAGAGCTGTGGATAAAGAAAGAAAGAAAGAAAGAAAGAAAGAAAGAAAGAAAGAAAGAAAGAAAAGGAAATAAAATAAAGCAATAAAGAAAACAAAAAGACAGAAAGAAAGATAGAATAAAAACATAAATATCGAAATAAAGAGAAATAAATAAAAGGAAAGAAAGACAAAAAAGAAATAGGAAGAAAGAAAGAAAATATAGAAAAAGAAAAAAAAGAAAGAAAGGAAAAGAGGAAACCGAGGGGAATACTGTAGAAAAAAAAAAAAGAAAAAATAATGAATTATAAGAAAACAGATGAAGAATAAAATGAAAATACAGGAAAAGAAAAAAGATAGGGAAAAAACGAGGAGTAGTAAACTAAAGAAAAAGGAAGAGCGAAAAAGAAAATAAAGAAAATAAAGATGAAGGTGATGAACAAAAAAGGAAAAGAAAAAGAAAAAACAAAATAAGAAAAAATATACTTAAGGCGAAAACAGAAATAAAGAAATTATTGTTCAGAAATGAAAGAAATGGGAATTAAGAAAGAAAAAAGCGGTACATGAGGAAAACAAGAAAGAAAGAAAGAAAAAAAAATAAAGACAGAAAGAAAGAAAAGGTTTTAACATTAAACAAAAGACAATTGGATATAGAAAGTAAAATGGAATAAACGAACATAGAATGAAAGTGAGGACAATAGATGGAAACAGGAAATGCGTTTTGATAAGAATAATTAAACCGGAAATTGAAATGGAGATTGCATTTCAAATAACGATTAAAAAAATATGTAGAAAGTATTAAAGCAACTTTCGTATTGCATTGAATCAACAGAATCAAGCTTTCAGATTGTGTTTATCGCTGGCATGCAAATCATCTCACAGTAAAAATGCCCGTATGGACCATTGATATTTAGAAAGAATGCGCAAATATCCGGGTGCGTTTCATTAAAACGGTGATGAATAAACACCAAGATGACGGAAGTCACTCCGCTAACGAAACTGTCCCTCAAAATGTATAGTAAAAATACTATCAGAATAAGTGCCTCTAGGGGGACAACTTATAATACAGGCGTGTTGCTTTTATACGAACATAAACTTTTATCAATAAATACTTAGTCTGATGGAGAAATTAATTATGTTGTACGATGTATATTTACTTACCAAAATTATATTTATCAACGCTATTAAAACATTTTGCCATTAAAATCATGTATCGAATATTATGCTGGTAAAATATCAGAGAAAAACTCTGTTGAAAATATTTGTATTTCGAACGTACACCATATTTTATGAGCAACTTTGTTTTTTGACCACCATTCGGTTTGCTTAAGTTTTCTGCAAGAATCAGTACTTTAAGTGGAGACCTACATTTCGCGGTTTCTGAAGCTTGAACAGCAACCAGCAACAACAGATTCGAGTGCCCAATTGTCAAAATGTAGAATATGAATAGATTCGATCGAGCTAAACAAGCCCATAAAATGTGCGTTCAGGTATTGCAAGTACCCAACAAAACTAATTATAGGAACAATATATGGCAATATAAAATGATTTTACCGCACATTTTTAATACCAAACTTATCTATTTCAACCTATTGGTTCAGGACTCTGTTATTAAAATGTAATTACTTATTGCAATGACAAGCACTTAAAAAAAAACAGATTTTGCTGAAAAATTCATTTTGCTTCAGAAGAATTCATTTTGCTTCAGAAGAATTCATTTTGCTTCAGAAGAACATCTCGGATTAAGGATCCTGAAGCTTAAGCAATATTATTTTCATAGTAGATTCGTATTGTTTGCACAATGTTTTATGCTTGGTCGTCAGTCAGTCACTTATAAATAAATTTATCTTACCTTAATTGAAAATGAAAATTAAACAATAACTATAATAGAAAAAAGATTGTTGCCATTAGATGTTGTCCTTAATGTCCACTTTTATATTTACATACGCTCCATCTGGAGCACATTGACATATGTATATCAGTTATGTGCCACGCATGATACACGCTTAGGCGATCATGTATCTTTCGATACATGATTGACGAGGCAGAATTTTCTTGCAGTAGGTTGCCATTTCTTTCTGCGGTAGATCAGTTGCCATCCAAGATTATGGAACACGGTCTGTTCTGCTATTTACCCATAGTTGGGGGGAGAAGAAAAGGATTCATACCATTCCCGAGGGTATTAGCCCGTAAGTAACTATAATGCATTCGACTGGAATTCGAATTTGCCTCTACGATTCCTCACTTCGAGCTGCTATCCATTATTTCACCGTGTCACCACTTAGAAAATCATTTTGGACACTTCGCCTGGTGTATTTGTTAGCAATCTTGTTCCGCCAAATCAATTTCGACTGACTAGTGTGTTCAATCCTCTCTCAATATCTGTATGAGAAAAAGTGGGAGAAGATGACGGTGGGAAGTGGTAAAGGAGAACGATATAAAGGTACAAATGATGAGAAGAAGTAAAAGAGCAGAAGGATAAAAATTGGGAATGAATGTTTTATAAAATATTTCCATTTTTCAAAACAAGGTCAAAATATTGTGTCCATGTTATAAAACATACATACAACAAACTATTTCTTATTTAACTGTTAAAATATTTAATCCTTGAAAATGGCTAAATGTATAGCCGAAAGCGTTCGGATAAAAAGAACATTCGGACAGTTTTTATATAATTTATCACCCGAAAAGAAGAATATTATTATCGGATATAAATTTAATAAAAGACTTGTTTCGAAGTATTCAATGAAATTATATATATATATATATATATATATATATATATATATATATATAAATACGATCGAAAAAAGTCACTGTCCACTTCTAAAAAATAAATCCGATAAAAAACCTTCCATCGCCGACGGCGCCGACGGCTTAAAATCTCCGACTGACACCAATTCAGTCGTGTTTCGATCCTAGCTAGAGGCAACCGGATGTCTAGCCACACTGATGAGCTGTGAAACAGCGAAACAGTCTGTCTGTGAATGACGTTATATATATATATATATATATATATATAATTGTTTGTCGTATTCAATGTAATTATACATATATATATATATATATATAATTTTTGTCGTATTCAATGAAATTATATATATATAATTTCATTGAATACGACAAACAAGGTGCTTTTTATTTTGTTTATTCAGGCGCAAAGTATGTCACTATGAAGTGAAAATAGCGTGTAAGTCAAAAAAGACAAACAGTCACAAACTCACACACACGCACACACACACACACACACACACACACACACACACACACACATATATATATATATATATATATATATATATATATATATATATATATATATATATATGAATGTATGTGTCTTCAATTTTACTTGATAGTAACAGGCATTCCGCCTGTTCAAATTTACTTCTGTCTGAAATTCCTACTATACTGCTAGGTTAGCTTTTGTACACTTGACCATACTTTAGTTTATTACGTTTGATCTCTAGAACAGAGAAACTCTATATCACAGTACACTGTACAAACTTTATTGAATATCCGCGGACACCACTACATTGAAGTTCACAAATAGGGCAATGATTTCGATCGCCGTAGCGAAAGAGGGCGCTACATTAAACTGTGCATGGTAGGCTCTATAGTGTAAATATCTACATTTACCAGGATGCATAATATTGTGTTGTCTACTTTTCATGTACGGGTGATGTAATTAAGTAGCCACTCAAAATAACGAATCATAACGGAGTTCGAATTTCAGTGATATTCCTTAGATTCACTTACGCGAAAATCTCTTCGAGAAAGGAAAGAATAGCTAATAGAAATAGTAATATTGTAGAAACACACGCGCTAAAGATGTAATATTTTTAAAAAAATAATGTCGGTAATTTTACTGTTAAACGTTTATATTCATTCGGATCGTATAGTGTTACTTCCAGAAAAGAAATAGGGGCAGATTAGAAAATGGGTGATAGTGTCTTACAAGTAATTGATGACACCGAATTAAAACGACAGAGGCTTACGATAGCTTGTGCCACAACAAAATATGAAATAATGAAGGTTGCAATAAAGAGAAAATTAAATGTATTGCGCGTCTGCGCTTGATTGTAAGGCCGCTTCTTTTTATGACTGACTCCAGAAACCTTAAGAGCATTCAAGATTGTTTCTTACAGAAGTAAAAGTTTACGCGAGATCGTAAACGTAAGGTTTTCTTTTGATATCGACATCGGGATAATACCCTCTGATCGATATAAAATTAAGTGATATTCCTTTGAAGATGTAGAGGCATAAAGACCCATGCCATATGTTCACGCGATAGTTTACACATAAGCATTTGCAGATTCCTGCATATGCTTTTGACTTCATGAGGCTTACCAATCTATAGAGACTCCTATACCGAAAATGTAATGATTTATGAACAGATGTACACCCATTTCTTTCTTTCTTTCTTTCTTTCTTTCTTTCTTTCTTTCTTTCTTTCTTTCTTTCTTTCTTTCTTTCTCAGTCTGTTATCTATCTATCTATCTATCTATCTATCTATCTATCTATCTATCTATCTATCTATCTATCTCACTCTCTCTATCTATCTCTCTCACTATATATATATATATATATATATAGCGAGCTACATAAATTTAAATGTTTGTTTATATATCTCAATTCTCATATGTCTGTTTTTAACTTTAACTATCTATCAAGCTGTCTATATCAACCTATCCATATCTATCTATCTATCTATCTATCTATCTATCTATCTATCTATCTATGTAAACAATTCTATTCATTTTTTCATATACTGATCATATCTATATATTCATTTGTTTGCATGCCAGTTTTATTTACTATTATATATTTATTTGTATGCCAGTATATTACCATAATATATATATATATATATATATATATATATATATATATATATATATATATATATATATATATATATATGTGTGTGTGTGTGTGTGTGTGAAAAGTTTATATAAATATAAATAAATATAAGTATGTATAATTATTTATATATTATATGCGCGGTACTTATTAGAAAGCGCTCAATATCAGAGATAGAGCTAACATCTATCCAACCAAATATATATATATACACATATATATACATATATATGTACACACACACACACACACACACACACACACACACACATATATATATATATATA